TTAGCTGCATTAGTGTGATCTGAATTGTCATAGACTTAGTGAGTTTGATGAGGTGTGTAGGGTTGAGAGTGGTTCATTGGATGTAAGAAGACAAAGATTGATATTGTCTTTTATGGAAGTTTGCCCAGATGACCTCATTTCATTTATTGTTCCATTTGAATTCATAAATCATAGATAAGATTATTTAACTTCCAAAGATCATTTTCCAAAGAAAATCTGTCTTGTAGCTTTTGCCATAGGTGTGAAAACTTAGAGTAATTCCTAAGTTGGATGAGGAGTCCTGTAATTCCTCATGGACAAAATGAAAACCAAGTATACAATTTAATTTTGTAAGTTATAAGAGTGAAAGATGATTTGATGTTATCTATCTTTTCTTCATAACATTCTACTTTGCCTTTCATGAGCTGTTTATATCTCATCCTGAAGTCTTGCTGTAAGCTTCTTTCAAATTTTCTGATACAATCATTCCATTATATGTTGGACTTTAAGACAAAATAAAGAGGCATGGATTGGATGATCATTAGTCAAAATTCAGGCTGTGCTTTACATTGAAGTAGGATTTGTTTATAAACCCAATGTTGATGTTCATGATGGTGGTACTAGCAACGCAGCAACAGATACCTTACTGGTACTGGTACCGTGCTGTACCGTATCTGTTATGCCCTGTACCGTACCTGCAGTACCGTACCTGATGGCTGGTTACGGTACTGGATGGGCTGTGAGCATGATTTTTGATCCAGGTACAGTACCTGGAATCTGAGTTCAATACCGGTATCTAGACTAGGACAAGCCCTTGTATCTTAGTACACTTTGAGGTAATTTGGTATTGTTCACAGGGGTCTTGTTTTCTATTTTGTTACTTTCCTTCTTTTTAATCTCTTTATTTGTTTTCAATTTCCTTTTTTCTTGTAATGAGAATAAATGGTGAGCTACTTTATCAGGTACTGGCATGGGTACTCTGTGGTACCTGCTCAGGTACAATACTGTACCGTACCAGAGTTTTGAGCGCGGTACCGGTACAGTACCGTACCAAAGAGCTCCAAAGGGTACAGTACTGGGGTTTAGGGCATAAGGCGATCTCAACCACTAGATACGGTACCCAACACCGTACCTGAGCTGAGATACGGTACTGGGTACTCGTTTTTTCAAGTACCGTCTTACCAGGTACTGGTGTCGTACCGGAGGTACAATACCAGTACCGTATCTGCTGCTGCGTTGGTACTAGTAGGTCATTGAGTGCAAAAAATAGTAGTCAATCAGTGAAGGAAAGAGGGAAGGGCCAGAGTGTGAAGTTGTGCACACAGACACATTGAGTTGTGAGATAAAAAATACATGGATGCTCTATATCTCACCCTATATTAATGAGAAGGAAAAAATCCAGTTTTGGAAGTGATTTGGCCAAGTAGCACATATTTACTCAGACTCAGAGCCTCTTCTGTGTGGCCAAAAAGGGACTCTCTTTTTTGTGGTGTATATTTAAAAGTTGTACAGTAGGTCAAGTCTACTTAAGTGGCTCTCAAACCTGACCTGATTTTCAAAAACCCAGTTAACCCAGTTGACTTTTTGGCAGTAACTTTGTGTATCAAGTTGACATTTGTTGACATCTCCCAGCCAAAAATTCCACTGGGTCAACTGGGTTTTTTTGAAACTGGGTCAGGTTTGAGAGCCACTTTTGTACTACCTTCCGACCAGCCAAACAAAATTTTGATTTTGAGATCAAAAATGACCACCTCAATGACTACTTCTGAAGTTCATAACCAGAGAGGTAGATTGGGGAGAGTGAGCCCAATATATCTATATATCCTTTCATCTGAGGCATTTTTTTTTACAAAATGGTCAACATTTGGGGCTGCGCATAGGCTAGGTACTTAAGCCCCTTGGGCTAGGTACTTAACCTCTGAAACTAGGTACTTAACCGCTCAGGTTGGGTACTTAATGTCTTAGGTTACTGTCAAATTATGTACTTATACGGTCCGGCCTCAAGTATGTGTTTGTGGTGCTGTGCATCAGTTGATGGCCGTCCACTGATCTCTGTGTTTTGTCATCTTCCCCTTGTTCTTGTCACCATCTAACTCAGAAGACATCTTTTGATTGCTGTTTCACACAATTGGTATTGTGAGTGTTTTGTTCATCAAGCAAATTTCATTGACTCGCAAACTGATACATTTTTTTATTTGAATGTTTAGCTTCTTTCTCAACACCAGCCCCAATTTCACCCACAATCTACCCCCCCTTTTTTCAATCTTCAATAAATCAAGCTTGTTCTCAAATCATAAAGTGTAATAAAGAGCAACCCTCCATGTTCATCATCTGAAGAGCTGTCTTGCTCATCAATACAGTCAATTGAGTGAGTTTCTATCTCAATGGTAGAATCTGAGCTGAGTGGTGCTTCAGCCTTGGGTTTTGGTTTAGTCCATCAAGCCATGAATCCAACATTCTTTCCAACTGCTGCAACAGCCTTATTTTGCCAATATTGATGGGTTGCCTTGGGACCCGGCTTAGAGATGAGTTTTTTCTTGAGGGGGTTTGGATCACAAATTGGTCTTTTGTATCTTTTGAGGTTTCCAAGCCTGTTTTTACGCTTTCCAATAGCAGGTTTTGCTATGTTAGAGCTGAGGAAGACTGGAAAAAGCTGTTCTCTGAGTTGTTCATCACCTTCTTGTTCATCTTCAGAGTCTGCTATTTGATTTTCAATAAAACCAACAATCTCATTATCAACTTGCAATTGTTCAGCTTCTGCTGCTTGTTGTGCTTGTTGAGCTTTCGTCCAGTTCAAAAAGGCCATTTTGATGAGGATCTGGGATGGTTGAGCCAAGTGATGGGTTTGAAAAAGTACTGAGAAAATTTTTTGCAGGAAGGTTTTGGATGATCTTCAGATTATATCTTGAGTGATAAATCACCTGTATAGTAACTCAAAAACCTTAAAGTGGATGACACACTGGGCACCTAGAGTTACATGGTTCACCAACCAATACTTGACCCTTGTACACACATCTAGGTTTTTCTTTGAATCCAACCCCCCGCTGAAAAAAATCCAAAATGCCTGACAATTGGGCCCAGGGCCACCTGTGGCAAATAAGTGGTGGGTGGTACATTATATTGATAGTGTCCCTGTTGTCGTAGTGCACATTCCCATAGCTAGGAATAACCAGTGAGCTTGCTTGGTACCAAAGCATGGTACCACACTCCTTTCCCCATAGACTTCAACCATACCGTATCACTTCGTGTATGACTACATTTTTGTTTTCTCTTGGTTATAACTCTTTGTCTGTGGTGTTCAAATTGGCTGAAGGTAGATTGCTTACAAACACTCTAAAGTAACTGATTGGATGGGTTGAAAAATGTGTCAATATTAAGGAATGCCCCAGTATTGCTTCAGAACTTGAATGATTATGTAAACCTCTTGGAGGGGACTGTACAAGTTGAGCCACAGACCCAGTATCCAACGGGGTACACATTGGGTTTTCTAAATGATTCAGATGTTGGCCAGGCCTCTGGAGCTCCCCAGCTGTCTGGGAGACTGGCCAGTTTGTAGTTTGGATGTGGGTGTGGAAGTCACCACATCTTGTCAGATAACCAGCAGATAATTTTGTCTATCATTACGGGAAGAATACAGAAGAAAGTGTCATGTAAAAAGGTATGCAAGTTCTTGCAGAGCACATACTTAACACCCCAGGTAAGGAGCTAAGGAGCTGTTGCAGTTCAATCTATCAGGAACATGCTGTGATAGGACAGACAACAGCCTGTCTTGTTGATGCCCATATTGCACACATGATGAGAAGATGTTACATGATTTTATAAACCATTTGTTATTCTTGTCTTGAGGACTTGAAATTATGCTTGATCACTTGATTTGTTGATTGAAATCTAGCAAATTCTTTCAAAAGGTCTCTAGACACAAATAATCTACTTGTATCTTTTCAGATGATCCACTAAAACCTGCCATCAATCCTCACACCACGGTCAGAATCCTTAGTGAGGACTATGTAAAAGAGCCCAATATCAAGTGTAATCATAGACCTGCTAAAGAATATGATGATCAATGAGCTCAATGTACAACATTACGTTACCGTATAGGGATTTGGATTTGTGACAAGGTATCTGCAAAAAGATGACACTTTCAATCTTGGTTAGTCTGCACTCTTTGTGTATAGTATGGATTTCACCTTTCTAATAATCAATCTTGCTCACACTTGCAGATATTTTGACTTTTGATTATATGATGTTATGTTTAACTCTATCATGATTTGAAATCCTCTATGAAAACAAGCATTTTTCAATTTGTTTTTGAAATATCTTAAATATCTCTCTTGATTCTTCAAAGAAAATTCAAGTGTTGTTTTGACCCCATCAATACCCTGTTTCACTTCTTATTAATGTTTACCCCCATTCCCAATTATCTTTTTCAAAGCCAAGCCAAAACATTGGACTATCTTACATGCCATGTATTTTAGGTCAAACCAAGGTGTGTTGAATATATCTTTCTCCTTCCATTCAAGTTTCTCATTGACTTCTCTTGTCAGGGTTATCTTTGGTATAAGTTTGTGAAAATGTCCAATTTCCCCTTCTTCTTCTTCCAAGTCAATTACAGAAATAATGACTCCAACCTGGAAAGATTCTTTTGACCTCTTCATCATCACATGAGGGGTATTAATGAATTAGAAAATCCACAAATCCAATCTTGCACTCAAGATGACTACAACAGATCTTTGATTAAAAACTTACAGAATCAAAAACATCAATAAGTTTTTCTTATCATTCTGATTAGGTAATAGGCAAACCAACACATAAACTCTCAAACTTTTTTTTCTTTTCATAAGTCCATTGAATCTCTAATCAATCCTTTGCTAAAAAAATCATTAACCTTCAAGAGAAAGATCAGATAGAACCCAAACAACACAACACCAAAAGAAAGAAAAGAAAAGAAAAAAAAAGATTACAAAAGAAAACATGAGTGCAGAAATGAAATCTATTTAAAAGGGGTTTTCTTTTTGTTAAAATCATTCTAATTCTTCTAATTCCTCATCATCATCATCCTCATCATCATCATCATCATCATTTGTTTCTTGTTTTTCATCCAAGGCTAATCCACTTGGTTCATCTTCTTCTTCTTCTTGTTCTTCTTCTTCATTTGTACGTGGAATGACTAATAAATCTTCAGAGATTAATGAAAATCGATCAGTGAGTGCTAAAAAACGTGCATAAAGACTTGTTTCAGTCTGAATTAAAAAAAGTAACATTCGATCAGTTTGTTTTTTCCTGATAGTTTGGAAAGGTGATCAGTTGGCAACTCACTTCGCATTGATCGAATACATCTCGATGATGAAACCATGCATGTGCAAAAATTCGATAAAGTCTTCTGGCAATCGATGTGAAATGTTTAATTGAGGTGGAGGGAATTTGTAACCTGGCAGTAAAAGTGATAGCCGTAGAGGATCGGAAGCAGTTAGGATGCGTTCGATCAGCTCCTGAGGGCCTCAAAGTCAAATCATCAAGATAAGGGTACAAACCGGCTTGGAAAATATCTTGCTGAATTCAGAAGTGCAGTAGCACCATCCAGTGTATGTACAATATAATCGATTGCACAGCAGTCATTCTATTGAAATACATAGGGTAAGTTATGATTAAAAAGCTTTTAGGAAGAGGATTATACATACTTCATTCGCAGTAGCATGAGCAGCACAAAGATAAAGCCATTCTCCTGCTTTCATCTCAGGACAAGTAGTACGTGAACATTCAGTTTGTAGAGTACTGACAAACGGATGACTTAGATCTTGAGAAAACCTTCGAAGTTGTTCATAAATCCAAACTTCTTGTGGTACGAGTGGAGTAGTGCCAGGAGTACCAGGAGTGCCGGGTGTACCAGGATTAGATTGATTGATATTTGGAGATGGTAAATTAACGATTTGTTCTACATCATGTGGATTAGATCTGACAAGAAGTGCAATATATTCTTGAACTTGAAATGGTGATTCGATCGAATGTAAAAAAGAACTTGGATCATGAATTGAAGAAGGAGTTGGATATGCATCTTCTAATCTCATTCCTTTACGAAGTCGTAGTGAAGTGGTGATGGTAAGATTTGATGTAAGTTTTTGTAATTGTTGTTTTGGATTAGGTAAAGGAATAGTAGATTGTCCTGGTTTGGGAGATGATGTTGATGATTGAGATGAAGTAGAAGTCGAAGTAGATTCTTTTTCAATTGAGATTGAAGCATGATGAGAATTAGGTGATGAAAGGTAAACAGGTGATAAGTTTGTAGGATTATTTGATTTTTGATTTTCTTCATTTTGATGATGAGTCTCTGATTTGTTCTTTGAAGGTGAACTTGTCATTGTTTTGATGATTTCTTGTTTTTGAGTTTCTGATTTGATTGGTTCTTCTACTTTAACTTGATGGTCATCTTGATTTTCTTGATTCATTGTTTTGATTAAATATTTCTTTAATTCTTTTTATTTTTCCATTCGATCGATCCATCCACGAGTTCACTCAATCCTCACCACTCACCTGGGGCTGTGACCCGGCCACGAGACTGACAGGGCGGCCATAGGGCATTGCACGGCTCTGAGCAGACCCGACGAGGAGGGCCAGAAATCAATCCCGGGGCACACCCAGATAAGAGCTAAAAAGGACCAGAGGGGCTCTTAGAGTACCCTTTGGACAGAATTCAGAACCTTTTTCATCAAGTGGACATCATACTTCCATAGATACTCACTTTAGGACCCCTTCCACCGCACCATACAAACAAATCAAGAAGGCAACATTGTTGGCCCGATTGTGAGAAACAACGGGGTACTACATAGGCATGAATTTCACACGACTCCACTTGAACATGCTTGATGTGGATCAAGCTCGATATCCTGAGCAAACTGAAGTCATTGGCCTCCAAGCACTCTGATCATGAATGCATCCCACCATTCAGCGGAAGTTGCAGAGGCTTGCAGAGGGCACGCCTAGACATTGGAAATCAATGACACAGGCGACTGACTTACAGCTTATAAGACGAATTATGCTTCGGGGGTTATCCCACGTGATTTGAACGTGGATCTTGCTTTGAGGAATTTCCTGGAATATCAGTTTCAGTCCTTTCCCACCGATTCCCGACTTCCTCAATTGGATTTAAAAAGATCTTTCATCTTTTTTACATCCAGGTCGAACGCTTTCAACACACTGTCGTCCTACAAACTCACCTCAATCACGAGCCAACTGGGCCACAACGACAAGACCTTGACGAGAATGACAGGTTTCGGTTTCAACACTAAGACCCCGGCCGCATACCAAAGTGTAAACTCGGAGGAAGAACCTTTAAGTACGAATGAATACGAGCAAGAAGAAAATCAAGTCCAAGAGATCATACCTTGCCCATCAAAAGAACTCACACAAACTTGGGCAAATGGTTTACGAGGCCTGGCGGCTTTCTGTATCATGATTCATCATTCTATAGTCGCTTTCAATTCTGAAGCTACTCTAAATACCAAAGACCCTGATGGCACCGTACATTTTTGGCAGTGGCCTATCTTACGTGCAGTTATATCTCCTACGGTCAGTATCTTCTTCTATTTACATCTCATGCTTTGCCATCCGCCTCAACAAAAGCACTATACTGATGAGGCCCTTAACAGTTCTTGGTTAATGTATTCTTCGTTTTGTCAGGTTTGTGCTCCAAAGAATCGCATTGTCTCACACCCTCAACTTACGAATGTTATGTGTATAATCAGGTTATGTGTTATCTTATCGAACTCTCTATCGGGTCGGTCAAGGGCATCTAGAGGCGGGACCTGTTCAAAGTTCATTGGCATCGGCTTCTTTACGACGAATATTTAGATTATTACCTCCCCCAGTGACCTCAATTGCGATCTCACATATTATCTTATTGAGTGGAGGTTTTGATTTGACAAGGGCTAAGAAAGTGTGTAGTTGGTGGGGGCCTGCATATACTCCACGTTGGATCACCTCCAATTGGCTCGAGCAAACTTTAGAAAGTTTGAAAAGCATGGTGAGTTGAAAAGGTTTTAATTCGGGAGCTATAGTCATAAAGCAGATTATCCATTTAATTGACTGACCTTCAAATATTTACAGGCAGTTATATGGTACCGAACGGAAACTGAATCTCAATATAACAATGTCTTGTGGACAATGCCTGAAGAGTTACGAGGTTCTATGAACGTCTTTTTATTTCTATTGGCAACATCAAGTTTAAAACGTCGATTCCGAGCTATGTTGGCTGTTGGACTAGGTCTTGTGAACCTCTTCATGAAAGAAATGTCAATCTTACCATTCATCTCAGGCATTCTCATCGCCGAACTTCAGGTCTCGCAATCCGAACGCAGTAGATCACAAATCACCAAGACATATGCTTATCTTCACCGGTTGATCTTTTTGATCATCTTGATGATGGGTTTGTTTTTTGGATCAGTACCATTCTTCGAAATGAAATCTTCTTCCTGGTCACTCTGGATGTTTCGAGTCATGTCAAGGTTTTATAATAAGGATGATTTTCAAGAATATCGAGTAAAGACATTATACTACATCATGGGCGGTACTCTTACTGTTCTCTCAATATCACAATGCACTACTGCCAAACGAATTCTTTCCACTAGACCACTTCAATTTTTAGGTAGAATCTCTTTTTCATTATATGTGATCCATGTTCCACTCTTACTCAGTCTTGGAGTATCTCTAGTTTCAAATTTTCGAGATTTGGGGGTTTCAAACACTTTTTCAATCTTCCTCATGTTACCTTTTTGGGTTGGATTGGTCATCATGTTCAGTTGGCTCATGACAAGGTTTGTAGACGAGAAGGCCATCGCATTTAGCCGGGCATTGGAACGGTATTGGAGTGTATAGCTACAATGCTCCATGTCGTGCCTTAGCATAGCTGTCCTGTAAAACTAGTTCGATATCTTGAGCGAGATGGTTGGTTTTTTTTACTCATGTACTCTACCCTCTATGCCCTGTTGTAAGTCTCATCTTGTACTGAAGTTTTTTTATACCAAGGACAGCTCCTGTGTACATATTTCTATATCTTTGTAAATAATGGATCTTGTCTGCAAACTTTCCAAGGAGAAATTCGGCTTCTCAGGCAATTTTTGATCATAGATAAAGTGGACTGATCATCTCACTAATCCCCACTTATTTAGCATGGGTAATTGACTTGTGTCTACATCCACTAATGCAACATTACCCTTGCTAAATAAGTGGGGATTAGTGACATGATCAGTCCGCTTTAGTTTCACAATCACTGTGCTTTGCTCCAAGCCGTGTTCATTATGGATTGAGTGGTTGGTTTCTTGGCGTGTTGTGTTTGTCCGGTCCCTGGCTCTTTGCTTCTTGTAAGCTGTGTTGGTGGCTGAATCAGAACCCATCCTGTGGAAGACAATAAGACAAGAATCAGTATTTTGATTAATGCTGTTGGCCTCTTTGGTACGGTTTACCAAAACACTGGTATCACTATTCATCTTCCTGCAGGCCAACCCCATACCATCTTGATTCAAAATTGTCACATGTGGTTTCCTGAATGGAATGCTGAGGTAGCTCTAGCTCAGCCCAATATGGTTGTACTCCTGACCTGGAATGTCAGGGCATTGCATCACACCCTACAATCAACAACCGACTTTTGAAATGGTCAACTAACCACTCCTAGAGCAGCTCAAGTAACTCAGATTGGGTCTTCCATTAAATTTAATTCACATCTATCAAAGAAGATGGCTGTTTATTATAGTGCAATTATGGATGAGAAATTTGGGGAAATCAACCCCAAATACACTTAATCACATGACAAGTATAATAGGAAGAAATCAGTGGCAAAGAAGTAGTTATTTCTTCTTTCTTGTCATACAAAAAGTTGTCTCTGTGTTTTCTTTTTTATCTGGTCTGTTCTCTCATTTTCTTTTTGTCTTGTATACATGTCAAGTGTTTTCTGTTTTGTCTTGTTATACACATCAAGTTTGTTTTCTTGCTGGTCTGTTCTCTGTCTTCTGCTTCAACTGATTTATTCAATGGCCGGATGTATGAGTATAATGAATGTGACATTCATTATATGGGCTACAAACTCTTGAGAAAAAGGTTGAATCAATTTACTTTTTGGTGAATGTGATATCCACAGAGTCAACTTTCAATTCCATATGTTTCACCTGCTGCTTCACCTGCTATATCCCTTATAATAATAAAGAAAAGTATGTTAGTGTGAAAAAACAATTGCCATGATCATGTTGCTATGATACTTGAATGATGATTATTCAAGGCCATGCCACTTTATTCTCCCTTGGATGACCACATCAATTATGTGTTTGATGCTATGCCACTGCTCCTTCTTGTGGTGCATTTGTAATGCTGTCCCTGGCCCGATATCTCTATCTTCATCTCCACATGCCACTATTCTCTCCAACACTCCACCGTTTCCACGAACTGAAGCCAAGGCTACAACCAATCAAGTCGCCTGTAGACCATTGTAACTTAATGTTGCCTTGGCTAATGTGATCTCCACCGCATTTTGTATCTGGGAATGGTTTGCTTTGAAGAGGAAAACATAACAAATAAGGCATGGCTCTTCAATTTCTCCTATTGCATCTATCAGTTTTTGATGAAAACAAATTCTGAATTGCTGTATCTCCAATTCCACACTGTGTCCATTACAACAATGGAGTTTACTTGTGTTCTTGCCTAAGTTTACATTGGTCAAATTGCAGGCAATAATAACAGGTAAGTTGTCTACAAACACAACCATTATTTGCTACAACATTCACATCAATTTGGTCAATGTGTGACAACTTCATTAATCTTATGACCTTCAAATCACTATCTGAATTAATGAGGTATTTTTTTCAGTCACACTGATCACTTCACTCAATTTTTTCTGTAGGTTTTCAAAACATGCAATTCAAAACACCAAGATATATGACCAGAAAAAGACAGGATTCCAGCCAATTATTCTGTCAAATATCTGATTGAACTGATCAAGATCAAACTCCTTATCTTCCTGATACCCCTATTGTTTATTTTGGGGACCAAGTATGGAGATATTTTCATTTAATTTGGGAACAATATAATTGTAAGTCTTGAGCTCTTAAGAGAACAGAAACTGTAGCATCAGCAAGAAGGAAAATTCCAAACAATGTTAGGGAAGAATTACAGGAATGGCAGAGTGTGAATTTCAAATTCTTTGCTGAGTGATGATGTGTCTATCAGAAATGTGTGAAGGCAGAGAATGTCATACAATTTGATGACTGAGTCTGTTTTTGTTTTGTGGTGTCTCACACCCTGTGCAAAGGGGTTGTGTGCCTGTTGACCAATTGACAGTCTACAGGTCTGTACACAACTGTGCAAGACTAGCAACTATCAGCTGTTGCTGGGCTAACAGATTTGATGGGTCTTCCAATTCTCTGTGTCCAGGGGGCTCTTGCATTCCATGGAGCAGCGGATTTCCTTAATTCATCAAAGCCATCAAAAACATCCAAAATTTGAAATCATTGAGTATATCATGTTTGCACATGAATGTAAAACATGGAACTTACAAGTCAGATTTAGCATCAGAACTCATCTCAACATTGCCAAAGCTTGAATGTCTTTCATCCTATAATACCTCAATAGACTCTTTGGAATTGAACCCGCCAGCTTTACCAAATTTGTGATGCCTTTCTTTTTGTTATGAGGGTGATGAAAACTCAGAGCAGTTTGCTGAAATTGGTCAAGCATTCAAAAACACATTGAAAATAGTTGAACTGTTATGTGTTGAAGAGATTGAAGGTCTGGATGGATTTTTTGAACCTAAAGAGGATACAATAGAAGGTATATTCACAATATCATTTAGCAATTGACTTTTGGAGAATGTTACAGGTTTAAATTGTCCAGGTGGTCAGAATTCATGACCCTTTCAAATATATACCTGGTCTTTCTTGGTTGAAGGTACCAATGTCAAAGAATTTTAGAACAATGACTACAAGCTTAGGGAGACCAAAATATCATGGGAAGGGGCTGTGATTGGTGCAGCTGCAGATGTGCTGGAGGACATACCTAACTTCAAACAATCATCTCCATTAAAGATCAGTGTTGTTGAAATCAAAATAAAATTATCAATCCTGAATTGGTGACAAAAGCCTTTGAATTTCTTGGAGTCCAATGCCATGTGACAAATGAATTAACATGTGATGAGATAAGGGAATGTATAGATTTCCTATTCTTATCATCACACCAAAACACATCTGAATAGTAATAGCTTTCTGAGATTTACTCGTAGTGATTGATTTACTTGGTCAATCAGTAATTGGATTATAAGACAAATAGACCAATGAAATAGATGATCAGATTGAATTCTCAAAACACCTTAAACCTAAACACCTTTGGGAAAACTGGCATTGGTGACAGATTTGTGCAGTACAAAATCAAAAACATAAATGCAATCATTGATCAAGATTTCATCCAAAAGGATCACAGTGAGATCTTACATCTTTTTGAGGTGAGAAAAGGTAATCAATACTTACACTAATAAGTTTTTCTCCAACAGATGGCTAAACCCCAATCTGAAGCCAAGAAGCAAAAACAAGCTGCCAAGTGGGCTTTGTATAAGGCTTGTAGGATTGCTAAGTATGAAGAGCAGAAGCTGAATCAAGAAAAGCACTGTGGGTGATACAATTTTTGCTGCTGAAAACCTTTGCATGTGATGTTTCCTGGAATCATGTACAAATCAAAAGGCGAACAATCAATCGGAAAGTAAGAATAAAATAATGTAGTGAGCTTGAAAAGTACGCAAACTGCCCTGTTGTGGTGTTGACCAAAACATGAGATGAATTACTGGGTCTCTACACTCGAGGAAGAGACCGAGGTGCAATTGTTTAATACCACTCTCCGGTGGAACCGCTCACCTTCACCAAGATACCGAGCATTTTTTTGGATCGACACATGAATACCAATCAAGTCTCCCTAGGAACTGGATCTTATAGAGCAGGCTATTGATGTCCATCCGATTCCCTACCATGATTTCTTTTCGGAAATTTTGATCACCTCACACAAAGACTCGAACTCATTTTGTCTATCATCACTATCGATATAATGGTGGACCAACCTTTACTCCCTATGCCACTCGCTGACCGACCCGATAATTCGTGGCTGAAATTGAGAGAATGCTCAGTTCTGAATACACAGAGAGAAAAATACGTGAGCGTGATCAATATGTCAATTTACCCGCCAAGATACATGCACATTGACGTTCTGTTTGCGAATGAGAAGACTTTTCGTAAAAGTAGGAATATTTTCGTAAGCTTAACGCTAACAATTTTCATAATAATTGCTTGCGCCGGATTAATTCAAAAATTGTAAGTTCAATCCCAAAAGTTTACTTGAATTTCGATGTCGCCAGCTAACACCTGATGTTTATAGAAATAGTGATCAACAGAATAATATGCCAAGAATAAGGATAGGCGTCAGGCACGAAGAGGACAGATCCGTTGCTGATCCTACAACACTCCCCAATTGTAGTAGAACTCTTCTTTACAAATTTGTTAACCCATATGGAATGGGGTCTGAATTAGGTATCTATGTACGGTCTGTTCCATCCCGTATGATTTTAAGCTTGAAGTGACAGGCAAAAGACATACTAGATGCTAAAGCAGGCTTCATTTCTTTTTGACTAGAGTATGGCTGCGGTCGTAGCCTCAGCCTTCAATTACACAATCATCATAGATGATTCTGCTTGGGTATATGGAAGACTAGAGGTGAACACGTTTTACACCGAAGCTGATCACAAACACATATACTTATCATGAAAGGTTCACAGGACTATTTTGATATACCACCACTACCGTGCCGGCCACCATCACAGGACACAACACGCACCTTGTTTGAGAATGTCGGGTGGGACCAACCGGATCATGTCTACGTAGATTGGGACGAGTGAGTCCAAACGTTTTGGAATGACACTAGATAACCAGCTCACCGTTTTCCTTCTTTATAGTATGGGTCGTAAAGGGATCACACAATATCTATTGGGACTAGTCGATCGCCGTACACTTAATATACATTCTGTCTGGAACCTTATAAATCATCGAGAACAAAGAACGGTCTTACCTGCAACTCAAAATCTACATTACTCCATGAAGTCATTATTTGATGCAAGATCAGAAGCGTTACGACGTATTTGGCGACCCAACAAGAGGATCTTGGATGAAATAATCTCCATGAAAAAGGATCTCAATGACAAAATGATAGAATCCCTCAATTCGGAAAGTCGGAAATCGATTTCAAAATCATCTATCCTCAACTTTGGTCTAGAATCACCTATGTCAAGAAGATTAATTTCTATACATTTCAGATTAGGAGACAAGAAAGTAGAACATGAAAGTTGGACGCCTTCAGCCAAGATAGGATTAGTATCCTCCTTTGCAAAACCCAAACCATTCTTTGACATCGTTAGGTCTTTTGTACCTAATTGGAAAACCTCTGAAGACTTACCTGCGGTCTTTGTTTTTTCAGATGATGCAAAGACCGCAATAAGCACATTTGAAGATTATCAATCTTTTTATTATCCTTCCCAACGTTTTCCCTTGCTAAGCTCTCCCAAAGGTGGAGAGCTTGCTGATGGTGGTCATAATCAAGAAATGTTTGACAAAGCACCACTCGAGCTCAGACAAAATCTTACAGTCGCATTGATTAGGGACATGACCTTTGCTGTCGATAACTCTGAAGCTGTCGTCTGTAGCTCTGTCAGTAACGTCTGTAACATGATGTTTCTTCTGCGTGGATCGCAGGATGCCATTGGGCCAGAGGCATCAATCCGGAGTGTGGACTTGCGATGGCATCCAACTGCATTGGCAAATGAGTTTACCGAGATGGGTCTGGACATGATCAAGAATCGAACAGAAATTTTAAAAATGGCGCCTATCTTGGCAGCTGAAGAAAATAATTATATAGATCTTTGATGTTTGTCTTGAAATTCTTTAGAATTATATCTTGTTTTTTTACAGGTTTGTATCCTAAAATGACAGTGGGATTCCATGATTATGATATAGTGCATATCACTGAAAATAAGGAAATGTAGAATGGGGTTGTGCCCCAAAGATTGAAATTCAAAAAGCAAGAAAAAACTATTGACCTTAAAACTAAAAAGATGCAATCCCGACTTGCCACTCTCGGTACTGTGAGTCCCGGTTTTTGCTTCCTCCTCCGGTCCTGTTACATTGGACAATGGAGAGCAATGGAGACTCATTATATATTCGCCGATACCCCTTGCTTTTCGCTCCTGTCTATCTTGATTCGACTTTTCATCCTGATTTCAAAGAACTATTCATGTTATGACGTCAAACAACTCTCATATGTTGATACACAGTTGTCAAACACCAATCACATGTAGTTGCTTTTTGTCATTGCCTTTGTCGTCGAATTGTGCAAACCCCACCAATTCCCTCCTTTGATCAATTGGATGCAATGTAAGGTAGTCGATTCAACAAAACAATAACCATCAATTATGAGCCAAGTAGAGTCAATGATTCATTAAGGGTACTCAAAGCAAAGTATGTAGCGCTACATACTTTTCGCTACATACTTTTTTTGGCGGGGACAAAGAAAAAAAATATACTTTTGGCCTCGCCTTCCCCGCCAAAAAAAGTATATAGCAAAAAGTATGTACACGTACATACTTACTTTGAGTACCCTTATTGATACTGCCAGGTCACATGTAGTATGACACTCGAGCTTTTCCATGGTAGTCTCAAACATTGAGTGACTTTTGGCTTATTCACACTTGATTTCAGCAAAAGACAGCTAATGTTTGAGAATTGAGATGAACAGATTTTACCGCCAATTGCAGCACCTTTTCTTGGTGAAGCATCACCACTATCCTTCTCCTTTCTTTGCTGTTACTAAAGGAGGTGAATTTATTTTGTGCTTTTAAATCTTGTTTGACACATGTACCTCCTTTTGCTGAAAGTAAAGCAAACATGGCTGCATGGAAATTGTCTGTTACCTCATGTGTCAGGTAGCTCTTCCCCTCCACACTTGATTTAAATTTCACTGCTCTCTTTGCCTCTGCCTTCCAAGAGAGGCATATAAAAGGTTGACCTGTTTTGCACTCTGATCCAATCTGTCAACCCCTTCCCACATATTTGTTAACTGTTTATGAGTAAAGGAAAACAAATGTGATGTCAGATGAACCCGCCAAGGTGGAAAAATTCTTTACTCATCTGGAGGCAGGTTTGCAATTCTTTCCAAATGTTGTGCACTTGATCCAAGGAGTGTTTACTTTGTCCAACAGAACAAGTGTGATCATTTGTTTTTGCAAAACTATGGGATTTAATCTGTGTGTAAACTCCATATTGCTTAGAGTTCACTAGATAGCATAAACTCTCATTGAATTAAGTTCTTATTGAGAGTAAACAAGACAGTCAAAAATCAGGCAAACCTAATTGTAATGATTGTCATGGACTAATTGCAAAATATCAATGAACAGATGGGACAGGAACTCAGTGGCCTGTTGCGGGCATGCCCGCCTGTTCTCTAGTGATATGTAAATATCTTTTGAGATCACCACCGGATCGGGAACTGACCGGATCGGTGCCCAATCACACCAAACTTGATGGCTGCCGCAAATTCCGAAATGACATCCTCTGATCAGCAGATCTTGCGAATTGAGCAGTCTTGGGACCACGAACAGCACTGCCATAGAACGAGAGTGTAAGCTCATAGGAATCACATCCACGGCCATCCTCATCTCTTGTAGCATCATTGAGAGAATTATAACCAATGATTAAAGAGGACGCTATTTTGATGGATCAAGTGGGCCACGTGTATTGATGCGAGAAAGGCCGAGAAATATGGATTGTATTGCCGATTGAATTTCCAGAGATGATAACATAGGTTTGCTTGTGAAATAGTCTGTTAAGCCTGGTTGATCTCGTTATGTCAGACAACGGCTTGCAAAGGGCTGTAAGATCAAGATGAATTCAAAATTAACAAGTTGGAGAACGCGAAACCAGTAGGATATATCAACCGGGGAACATCACTCGATGATGACAACTCAGGCGCAGGTAGGCAACGCTAAGACTAGGACACACAAAGAAAATACTAGGAAATCACACACAAAAGATCCAGACCAAGAACAATTCCTAATCAATGGAAGAAAAGATAAAGACCACCAACTCAAGCAAAACACTATGTACGTCACAAACCGTGATTGCATCATTGCACTGTTCTCCGGCATGTACCTATCATGAGATATGCAATGTTATACCATGTCAACAAGATTGGTCTCGAATAATATTGCAGACTTTGTAGTTATCTTATGTGCAACACTATATCATCTCAAGTAGCTCACTATACACCTGTGTTCCCTTTGAACTGTTTGACCAAGATATCTGATCTGATTGGAAATCTGATTCTCATTCGTTTACACTATGTATGGGCCGGCCTGAACAAGCTAAAAGGGGATAGAGTGGTTTGTGAAAAGTCACATTCGTGGCATCATGGCTGTCCGAGCTGCCGTCCGCTTTTCCCCCCCCTTTCGT